CCGTTGGACCACAAGAAGCGCGCGCGCCACTCGCTTGATGATGAACTCGCTGCCGACATCTCTATGGAACGAGAAGAGAGATAAGAGGCAAAAAGTGTTTGTGGAAAAGTTAAGAGATCTGCGAATTACTTCGAGAATGGGATAAGACCACAAAGGCGTGGCCGTGGAATATATAGAGGAAGGAAGAATCCGAAGCGACGCGGGAGAGAAGCCGCTTCGCTCGAGAAAAGCCAAAAGTCGAGGGCATTCCTGTAATTGTTAGCTTCTCGACCCATGCAACGGAAGTGACAGAAAAAGCAACCGGCGATTCGTAGGAAACAAGGCACGCTGTGCGACACGGTGCACCGTGCTTCAAGCCGCAGGAGTTCGCCTGGTGGATCGCACTCATCACACGCTTGAACCCCACCCAACAAAAGGTCCAAGCAACGACTAGCAATTCTCGCAAGGCCTTAAGAAATTTGACGAACAGTCGCGATGGTATGAAATTCGCGCCTCTACAGGAATATCGCTGAATGTCCGCAAAGGGAAATAGTTCCGAGATGGGTTACACAGAGTTCACGCGTGGGTCAACCATAATCGCCCGGGCGCCTTGATCCCCGAGGCAGGATATACGGAACCCGTGGACGTAGACAAAACTTGACTGTCTTGAAGATAATTCCGGCTGGCTACCGCCTGCGAGATCGTTCAGCTCCCACCCTGCATGGTTATCTCATTTCTTGCTTGCTTGATTGCTTGATTTCTCGATTGAATGATTGTTCTTGCTTGCTTGATTGTGTGATTCCTTGCTTGCATTATTGTGTGATTCCTTGCTTGCGTGATTGCATAATTTCTTGCTTGCATGATTGCATGATTTTTTGCTTGCTTGATTGTTTGATTTCTTGCGTGGATTATTGCGTAATTTCTCGCTTGTACAATCGTTTGACTCCTTGTTTGCACGACGGTATGTTCTTTCTCGCTTGCATACCATCAATACTCGTCTTTTTCTTGCATACGTACCCTCTGGGGATGCCACCTTTCATCTCTCACTCTTTTTCTTTAAAAAACCCTTTTTTCTTAGCATGCTCTCTCACAGACTTGCTTGTCTTCCGGGACGCCATTCCTCCAGGAATTCAGGACTCTGGTCCAGCAGGCCATTGCGGCCTTTCCAGCGTCAGCTCCCTCTGAGGACAGCACACGCCCTAAGCATGCTCTCCCGTGGACTTGCTCGTCCTCCGAGGCACCCTTCCTCCGGGATTCTGAGGCTCCGGCCTCACAGACCTCGTGGTCTTTCTCGCCAGTCCCCCCCCCCCAGCGGGCCGCATGACAAAAAACATGCTCTTTCCAAGGACATGCTTGCCACTTAGGCACCTTAGAATCCGATCTTAGGAAGGGGAGAATCCAGCTCCGACCCGGTCAGACTCATACCGCCAAACAGCATGGTTGAAAGGAAATTCCCCTGTTCCCTTGAGACGACGCCCATCAGGATAAGTCCTCCCTTTACTCGGAATCATGTCTTTATACTCGCTAAATCCTTTTTTGTTCGTAAAACCCTTTCGAAACACTCACAAATTATTAGATGTCTCGATCCTCGGACGAGGCCTCTCACTTGAATCCGTAGAACCCCCCCCCCCCTCCCAAACCGGCGATTCGTAGGAAACAAGGCACGCTGTGCGACACGGTGCGCCGTGCTTCAAGCCGCAGGAGTTCGCCTGGTGGATCGCACTCATCACACGGTTGAACCCCACCCAACAAAAGGTCCAAGCAACGGCTAGCAATTCTCGCAAGGCCTTAAGAAATTCGACGAACAGTCGCGACGGTATGAAATTCGCACCTCTACAGGAATATCGCTGAATGTCCGCAAAGGGAAATAGTTCCGAGATGGGTTACACAGAGTTCACGCGTGGGTCAACCATAATCGCCCGGGTGCCTTGATCCCCGAGGCAAGATATACGGAACCTGTGGACGTAGACAAAACTTGACTGTCTTGAAGATAATTCTGGCTGGCTACCGCCTGCGAGATCGTTCAGCTCCCACCCTGCATGGTTATCTCATTTCTTGCTTGCTTGATTGCTTGATTTCTCGATTGAATGATTGTGTGATTTCTTGCTTGCTTGATTGTGTGATTCCTTGCTTGCATTATTGTGTGATTTCTTGCTTGCGTGATTGCATAATATCTTGCTTGCATGATTGCATGATTTTTTGCTTGCTTGATTGTTTGATTTCTTGCGTGGATTATTGCGTAATTTCTCGCTTGTACAATCGTTTGACTCCTTGTTTGCACGACGGTATGTTCTTTCTCGCTTGCATACCATCAATACTCGTCTTTTTCTTGCATACGTACCCTCTGGGGATGCCACCTTTCATCTCTCACTCTTTTTCTTTAAAAAACCCTTTTTCTTAGCATGCTCTCTCACAGACTTGCTTGTCTTCCGGGACGCCATTCCTCCGGGAATTCAGGACTCTGGTCCAGCAGGCCATTGTGGCCTTTCCAGCGTCAGCTCCCTCCAAGGACAGCACACGCCCTAAGCATGCTCTCCCGTGGACTTGCTCGTCCTCTGAGGCACCCTTCCTCCGGGATTCTGAGGCTCCGGCCTCACATACCTCGTGGTCTTTCTCGCCAGTCCCCCCCCCCCCCCCCCCTCCCCCCCCAGCGGGCCGCATGACAAAAAACATGCTCTTTCCAAGGACATGCTTGCCACTTAGGCACCTTAGAATCCGATCTTAGGAAGGGGAGAATCCAGCTCCGACCCGGTCAGACTCATACCGCCAAACAGCATGGTTGAAAGGAAATTCCCCTGTTCCCTTGAGACGACGCCCATCAGGATAAGTCCTCCCTTTACTCGGAATCATGTCTTTATACTCGCTAAATCCTTTTTTGTTCGTAAAACCCTTTCGAAACACTCACAAATTGATAGATGTCTCGATCCTCGGACGAGGCCTCTCACTCGAATCCGTAGAACCCCCCCCCCCCCCCAAGTATTTGTTCCCGGTAGGATGTTCATTAACTTGGGTGTCGGAGATCCTTCAGGAGGAAAACCCCGTTTCAGTCCTCCTGAAGGCCCGACTGACCTCTTTTGTGGTATTTGCAGATGAGAACAGGTCTTCATCCGCGCCCGTAGAACTCGTAAGGATTCCGCCCCGGAACAACACGACGCCTTTCCCCCCAGAGGAAGAAACTAGGAGGCACGGCTCCACTCTGCGAACGAATGACACACCCCCACGTGGCATCCCTAAATTTTCTCTCGAACAACCATATTCATGTGTGATAGTATCACGCAAAGCTTCCATCGCTCTATCTCTAGTCGGCTCATTTGGAATATGTTCACTATGGTCATCATCACCGTCAATATCATCATCTCTTGCTTCTCATTCTTCTTCTTCATCACCTTGAGTATGATATTCTTCTGTGTTTTGCCAATGTACAAAACCTGAATCCTCTCGATGTGAATTACATATGAAGTTGCGTTGTGCCATGGTCGCTGTGACAAGCTTAAACCACTTAGTCAAACCATACTTTGGATGCTTATGATCTAAAATCCTCCATTTTGCTTTCCATACTCTAAATGTTCTCTCAATCACTGAACATATACCTGACTGGTTTTGGTTGCCAATGTACGATATCATCTTAATCAATTTGCTAGACGAGGACCACCATGAAAGAAGTCGTAGCAATATAATCCAAAAAACATCATCATATTTATCAATGACAAAACACAGAACTCATGCTTAACAAAAGTTATCATCAACCCTATCAAACAAATACTAGCAACACAATCCAAAAAGCATCATCATATTTATCAAAGACAAAACACATAAACAAAAGTCATCTTCCAACGTATCAAACAATTACTATGCTTCATACAGCAAACAAAAGTCATCATCAATCATAGAGATGTGTTATAAATAAGAGAGGACACTGAGCATGTTATGAATAAAAGAGGACACTGAGCAAGGTATACATTCTAAAGAAGAATCAAATAAACCTAAATGAATCAACTTCTGAAAAAGTACACAAAACTCATATCTCTTATGCACTTCACTAAGAGAATTAATGCACAAGCAAATCCAAATGATAATAAATAAAAAAACGAGACAGAAATCAATTATAGCACAAATTCCACAAACATAGAATGAGAGTTTCTGAGAAGAGTCGACAAAACTGCACACACACAAATATGCATTAAATCGAAGTGAGAGTGAGCAACTGAAAAACAAAAATTAACTCAGAAAAGCAAATAATAGAATCAACAAACCTGAGACAAAGCTATCAAGCTTCGGCTTGAGATGGAGATCGATGGTGATTTTAGCTTGATTTGGAGATCGATGTGGTTTGGCGAAGAAAAGAGAGCAAGACGCTCATTGTGGTTTAGGTTTTTTTTTATAATTCTCAAAAATTAATAAGGCTAATTTTGTCTTTTGCTGGTTTAATCGCAACAGTATTTTATGCACCGCTGAATTTCTTCTGCGGCCAAAAAATCAGATACCAGCCGCAAGATCAACATTTGATTGCATAGTACCGTAACAAGGAAACAAACAGCAACTGGACACATATCACAGCCACAGCCGTCTGCGCCAGACAAACAAACAGGCCCTAGATCTCTCACTTACTGCCAACCTTATGGCCAGACAACGTTTTCTCTCTTGAACAACTTGTATCCTCTCTATTGCGGGTTGTCTACAACTAATTAACCAGTCCAAAAATATATATACAGTACATGTAAACTCTGAAAATTAACCAGCCCAAAATAATAAAATCTGCAAACATTTTTTTCAGGATAAAAGTTATAAAAGTGACAATTCTACACAATTCTTCTAGTAATTTATAATCTGCCGATGCAGAATTTTGTGTTTTCGACTTATTTGGGTAAATTAGTAAAAAAAATTTCTAATCTAAAAATTAGATTATGCAGTTTCCTAAAATTAAATTGGCAACTCCCAAAAAAGTTATTTTATTCAAGTGTATCTCTCTATCTACTTGTCTAAATTAAACCCGCTCCATCTGTCTTATAAATCTCGAACCAAATAGAACTTTCCAGAAAAAGTCAACAAAAGATATCAAAAGAAAAATTAGGGAGCACCGATTAAGCCAACAAAAAGGCCCATTTACAGGCAAACAGAAAGCTTAAAGATTCTGCGAATGGAGGAGTATTCCATTCGATCTCTAGAGCCTTCTTTGGTATCGAATGGAATAGTCTGGTCTTGTCACTATGGAGATTCTCTCTGTTTCTTGCATGTACCATCATTACTTTTATAAACTTTAAGCTTTGTTCTGCAAGAAATTAAATATGGCTCTCAAAACTATGGAATTTTCATCAGGTAGTATCAAATAGGTTCTTGAAAAAAGTTTCTAATTTTTTATAAAAACAAATTGAGAAAGTTTTAATATCTTATGGTTGGTTTTAGGTGTTTTCCCTAAATTTGTCGTGATGGGTCACAGAGGCTTTGGGATGAACATGCTTCAATCTCCGGATGAGAAAATGAAAACAATCAAAGAAAATTCTATTCTTTCTTTCAATGTCGCTGCCGATTTTCCGATTTGACTTCATTGAGTTTGATGTCCAGGTTTGCTTCCGCTACGCCCTTGTTGACGATCCTTTACTCCGACAGCATCTAGGGTTCCCCCCCCCCCCTAAAAACTAAAAAATAGATAAATAATTTTGCCTCAGTTATTTGTTTGCATTTGCATTTGCCTTTTTTAACCACCATTTTCTTTCATATGCAATAATATGATGTTTTATACTTTTATTCATGAACCACAACTTTTTGTGTTAAATAAAATAATATTTGACAACTGTAAACGTAAAGGCGAAACACCAGAAACAAATAGATAAAGATGGTCCACTCGCAAATGAAGGTTTGTTTAAAATTGACATGCAAGTTGAATAAATGCCTAAATAAAGAATGTAACTAATTTTATAGGTGACAAGAGATGGCTGCCCTGTAATTTTCCATGATAACTTCATGTTCACGCAAGAACAGGTTAGGGCGTTTTTTTTCCTTTTCACACAAATAATATTGTGGCTGATAGTATTTATTAGAAAAAATTAGAAATCAGCAAACTTCGTATCAATTATTTTAGGGAGTCATCATTGATAAAAGAGTAACAGAAATGGTTTTACTTGAATTTCTCTCATATGGACCTCAAAAGAATTGTTCAAATGTGAAGCCTATGTTCAGGAAGACAAAAGATGGTAGAATCTTTGAGTGGAAAGTCGCCAAAGATAATCATTTGTGTACCCTTAAAGATGCCTTTGTAAAAGTTAAACACTCAGTAGGATTCAATATCGAGCTAAAATTCGATGATAATATTGTGTATGGAGATGAAGAGTTACGTCAAACTCTTAACAACATCTTGAAGGTAAACAACAGACCTTCACCCATCTGATCTTTGATGCTATGTTGCTTCAGTAATGTCAATTTTTTTAGCTTTTTATGATGGAATATTTGATAATGAACAGGTTGTAGATGAGCATGCCAAGAGCCGCCCCATAATCTTCTCAAGCTTTCAACCTGATGCGGCTCGAATCATGAGGAATATGCAAAGGAGTTATCCAGTAAGATTGCTTCTTTGATTTTTTTTTTTCCTCTATCTCCAAACCCTAGGTTACTAATCACCAGAAACCGACCTTTGAAAACACTCAAGGCATTATTGTGTTACATGGTTATGCAGCTAAAATATATGTGTTCAGGTCTTCTTCTTAACAAATGGAGGATGTGAAATCTATAAAGATGTGAGAAGGAACTCATTAGACGAGGCCATAAAGATTTGCAAAGAAGGCGGTTTGCAAGGGATTGTCTCTGAGGTTAAGGCCATATTAAGAAGCCCAAACGCAATCATCCGAGTTAAAGATTTAAACCTTTCAATTCTATCATATGGGCAGCTTAAGTAAAGAAACAAAAACATCCTCCACAACCTTTTCTCTCGCGCCTCCTCTGTTTTTTTTCTTCTGAAACAAGTTATCGTTGATATTTCAGCAATGTCGTGGAGGTAGTTTACTTGCAGTATCTGATGGGTGTGGAGGGAGTGATCGTTGATATGGTCAAAGAGATTTCTGAAGCCATCGCCAATATTGAGGTTGGAAACGAGGAAGAAGATAAAGAAGAGGATGAAAGAAAGTGTCTGATTATGTTTGGGGAGGAGAGGAAGAAAGTGAAGATTTCTAAGGATGAGATCGCTTTCTTAACAAAATTCGTACCAAAACTGCTTTAAAAGTAAAGATTTTGCTTCATTTACACAGTTTCACATTCTTGTACATAGACTACTTTTCCGGTTTTAAATTAAGAAAAATTATGGCATACATTTTTTGTTATGTATAGTTATTGTAATCAATTACTCTACCGTAACATGCAACAATAGTTTTACTGATCGAGACTATTTGAATAGTATAAAAGATTGTATAAATCTACCACCTTTAGTAAATTTATCAATGTTTAACAAATTTACTAACATAACAAATAAATTTACAAATAATTTATGATAAATAATTTTATCATCATTAACAGTAAATTTACAATGCTAAAAAATAAGAAAATAAAATACTATCAAATAACATAAATCTGCTATCACATCAATTACCATTCATTACTGATAAATTGACTATCATAAACATTAAGTTTACGAATTCATTCTTAACTTTATAGGTGGCCAAAAATGTTTACGAATTCATTGTTAACTTTATAGGTGGGCAAAAATATCAAACCGAATTGATATAGGTATAGGGAAGTAGCTTATCCTCCATATTAATACAGCTTGCAATTATCAAATTTTCTTTGTTGAAATATCATATATTTGAAGGCCGTTTTATCACAAATCGTTCAAAAATATATATATTCAAAATTCTCTTAGGATGATTTAACTATATATGCAATAGGATTATCAGAAACATAAATGCTTGGTTTATATGTACACTAGTATTGATAGAGAACGGGAAAAACACTACTATCATTAACAAAAAATAAAAATTTTAATATGGTATTTTGAATCTAGTAATTTTTCAATTAAAAAACAGTTATATATGTTTGTATTCACATATTAGTTATATATCACGTGAAATGCTTTTTAATATATTTCAAAGCCACATATTTAACAAACTTGTTTTAAATATATACACTGAATTACTTTAAATTATTCTTTCCATGTAAATCAAATATCTTACCAATTAAAAATTCAGCTAGTCCGAGACTACCAAAGATCTTTACTGAAAGATTTATGTGGGAAGATTAAACTGCATTTCTTGTTCTAGAAACTTCTTCATCGATGTTACTCCAATAATATTAATCTTTCTACTTTAAGCATAGTCTCGTGTTTTGTCTATAAATTATCTATTAAATTGGATGAGTTCTTGTAGTGAAATATAAAGTCTTTGGTATGTGAAATTGGATGAGTCCTTGTTTAGATCTTATACTTCCCAAAGTGCTTTAAAGAGCCTTGATGGTTTAATTCTAAATGGTACCAACTGTTCTGAAAATTATAGCTCAAAGTTCTTTTTTTAGCTCAATGGACAATTTTGTTTTGCAGGCTTCAAGGGAGACTCGAACAAGATGAAAATGCAGCTGAGATGCGCACCCGACAAGATATATATCAGATGGAGTGGCGGGAATAGAAAAGCAGAACCTAATGGGAATCAGCTGACATGGATGTGTGAAAGCAAGATGATCCTCTGTATAACACCACATATATACGGAGATCAAGATAATGAAGCACGAGTCATAGCTAGTAAGAAAGAAGATATGCTAGTTAGGGTTAGTGGTTTTGGATATAATAATAGGGTGGATCAAAAGGTTAGGTTTAACACTTTTGATACATGGTTCTTTAGATGGCGCTTACAAACAATAACTGCTTAGAGTTAGTGTTCTTTGGGTTATAGATGTTGTGAAATCTAATTTAAGGTAAGGGTAAAACTTGGAATTGAATTGGTTTCTATCTAAGACCAAGAGGTTCTTAAAAAGAAAAAATTATATAATGTAATTGTAACAAAAAATTGAACCAATGAATGAAAGACATGTGTGATATGAGGTTCTTATGAAATGATCATGGCATCTCAAATAAGAACCTCTCTTCATTCTCTTTCTTACCTTAAAAAAATTCTTATTTGTATTGTTAAAAACCTATATGAGAGCCTCTCATTGCAAATGCTCTAAGACCACCTCAATCAGCTAAAGCAAAATGCATCGTCTCTTACCATTATATTATTAATATAAATTATTTATCTAATTAATATTTATAATATAGAAGGAAGAAGCTAATAATATATGGACAAGTAAATAAAAACTTTTCACAAACGTTTTTTAAACAAACAATTTAAGAAACATATCTAGTTTCTTTTTCTTTCTTTTCTCTTTTTTATTTTTATTTTTTTATTCTTAAGATACCCTTTTAAGATACATTTATGGAAATGTTCTAAAGTGTTAGAATTGATTAATTCCAAGCAAGTGTAATAAGTATAAAATTAATTTATCAGATTCAAATTAAATAAAACATTCATTTTGGTGCTGTGGAAGGCAAACAAAGAATTGTTCGTTACAGGGTTTTTCACTTATACAAAAGGCTTATATCAATGAATGAAGTTAAGAAGCACAAATCAAGAGATTTGATGTGGACTGTTTTGAAAGGTTGTACATATCACCTAAATGAATGTTCATTCCGGAGGTGTCAATACGCTGATGACAGCCGTTGGAAGAGATGTTCCTGTTCAACAAATACAATGCTTGGGTCAGTTTTGATATCTTACTTAAGAAATGCCTTGTTGGAGTTTTGGATGCTACCAGAGTGAAAAAGCAAGAAGCGTTTAGTGGCTAATGCTAAAATGTTGAGATGATCTCATATACTCGTATAGAAGATTCTTAAGTAATATGCATGGGCCAGTTTCACTTCTACGTCTCATGTTTTTAATGTTAAAGTTTTAGATTAATAAATTTTAAACGGCATTTTTATTTATTTTAATTTAATTTCGTTTTTTAACAAAAAATTTATAAATAGTCACGTAATATTTGTAGCAATTTTTTACATTTCCAACAGAAATTTGAAACAGTTTGTCGTAATTAATAACAATTTATTTGTAGATTTTTGTGGGATTTTTTTTTAAACATTTTTCGTGGGATTTGTGTGAAATTGCCACATATTATCTGCTACAAAATATTTTGTAACTATTTGGATTCAAATTTGCTGTAGTAAAATTTGCTACTAATAGCTAAAAATAAATCAACATTGCTACCGCAAAAATATAACAAATCGTTGCAAACCAAAATTTGCTACAGAATAAAATTCATATCTACAAAAGAATATATAGTTATGTTTACATATATATTTTATTTTTTGATAACTGATGTTTACGTAGTGTGGGTTTTCAGAATATGATCCAACTTGAAGAAAAGGCAAGATGAAAAAGCAAACCGGAAGGAAAACAAAGAAGAGAAGCAAGTGTGGCTAAGTTGAGACTAAAGGAAAACTTTGTTTGAAAAAAGGTTTTCAAAAAGTTCAAAAAAAAAAAAAAAAAGGTTTTCAATTGAAACTTATAATCAGAGAATTACAAGCTATGTTTCTACGCAGTATCAAACCTTTAACTACTTGCTTTTATCAAATATTTCAGAATGATTATGTTATAGGAAATCAGAATTGTGGAAATAAGAAGTGATTATAAAATGGAGGGCTGAGATTAAAAGAAAAGATCAAGGGCTGAGATCAAAAATAACTGAGCTTGTGATGTTTAAAGGAACCGACCAAAGAATGGGGGAGGCAAGCGGAAAATTTGTGGTAAACAATCATCTTCTTCATCTCTTAATTCTCTGTTCTGTGAAATTAGTTCATCTTAGCCTGAGATTCTATTCTTCTTATCCGGAATCTCTGCAGTTGAACACCGGATTCGTGTTTCAGGAACGTCGATCCGGATTCGTCCTTTCTCGGAATCGATGGCGGAAACAAGAGCAAAAGCCGTGGATCAAGCAAAGCTTTTCTGGTATCATGCATTACAAAGCACGGTTTACAAGGAGCTGCTTAAGTTCAATAACAAAGCTGAGGATAGCATGGCGAGGGGAATGCAGATTCAAAGGGAAGTGTTAAATCACTCAACAACTCAGCTCGGGATAATGGACAAAGCTGATCCTAGGTGTCACGTTGAAATTACGATAACTAGAGGAACAATTCGGAGCTTGAAGATGCCGACTCAAGCACATAGAGACTTGTTTGGTGGCAATGTCGGGAAAAAGGAAGTTGTGTAAAAATTGGTGGTTTAAATACAAAGAAACCACCATGGCTAGAGCTTTACCTGCACAGCGAATAACTCATTCAGTGTTTCTAAAGGGATTCACCCTATCTGTACAAGAGGAAAATTTGTTGTTGTTCCAAGTTCACCCACAATTGAGAACGTATAAAGGGTCTATCCCTTCTTCCGTTGATCAGATCTTGCAAAACGAGTTGAACGCTTTGATGTACAGAGTTCTGGCGTATCTTCTTCTGGGTGTTGTTAGAATATATTCCAGGAAGGTTGACTTTTTGTTCGATGATTGCAACAAAGCGTTGACCGGTGTAAAGGAGTTTGTGATTAAGGAGAAGGACAGAGAGATGTGCTACTGCCTACATCTACGGGATTTTCACGGGGGCAATGTTAAGCCGCGGGATGATATTACACTTAGAGATGGAGGTCCGGAAACAGAGAGTATGGACCAGTACTATATGGAAAGGTTCGACATGGAGGAAGACCTTGTGATTACGTTTTAAGAAACCTTCTTGGCCGGTCATAACGAAACCAGAAATGAGAATTTCAACCATGTGATATCGACATAGATATAGACAATATTCGGGATGCTAACGAGTCATCAGGAGATCATCAAAATGCATTCCGGCATAGAGAAGCTCCAAAATCAGATGACATACTTATAGAGCAGCCTGTGTCTGAAGATATCAGAAGAGCTCAAGAAGAATGCATTTTATATCTTTGAAACCTTGAGGTCAAGGTTTTTCGAGAGGGGGAGATTTGTTATAGGAAATCAGAATGTGGAAATAAGAAGTGATTATAAAATGGAGGGCTGAGATTAAAAGAAAAGATCAAGGGCGGAGATCAAAAATAACTGAGCTTGTGATGTTTAAAGGAACCGACCAAAGAATGGGGGAGGCAATCGGAAATGTTGTGGTAAACAATCATCTTCTTCATCTCTTAATTCTCTGTTCTGTGAAATTAGTTCATCTTAGCCTGAGATTCTATTCTTCTTATCCGGAATCTCTGCAGTTGAACACCGGATTCGTGTTTTAGGAACATCGATCCGGATTCCCTTATCAGATTAACCTAACACATAACCAAAAACACATAGATAGTTTTCGAAAGATTAGATGTTCATTGGATCTAATGCATGGAGGAAGAAGATTTACCTCTCATGGACTGACTACACCCCATCCCGTAACCTGCACAAATCATCAAATTCATTTTA